GACGATGCGGATCGTCAACGCCGAGCTCGCGAAGAAGCCAGAAATAGCCTCGAATCGTTCGTATATCGGGTCCAGGAACTTCTTTCTGATAAAGATCTTATTAAAGTTACTACCGAGAAACAACGCTTAGAGCTATCTTCGAAAGCATCGGAAACGTCAGATTGGTTATATGGGGAGGGAGAAGAATCATCAACAGAAGAGTTTCAAATACGTCTCCGCAATCTTAGGTATTATAAATTTTATACGATTCATCTAAAATATCGAGCTAAAAATAGACAAAATAAACAATACATTCTTTAAACAGGTCACTCGAACAGCCAATCACATATCGGTATGAAGAACTCACTCGACGTCCCGACGCTATTCGTGCAATCCAATCTGTCATCAAAAAAACTCGAGAATTTATTGATCAATTGCTGTTAAATTCAACTACTGAAGATCAATTGATTGCAGACGCGGATCTCGACAGATTGATGTCAGTGTGTCGTAGAGTTGAGCAGTGGCTTGATGAAAAATTATTTGAACAAGAAAGGATTCCTTTACATATTGATCCAGTCTTGACTTCGTCCGATATTGAAAAAAAGGTACGAGAGATAGAACGTGAACTACTGTTCTTAGCTACCAGGAAACCACCCAAGAATACTCCTAGATCCAACGATTCTCAGAGTACTAGTAGTGCGGACAAATCCGAATCTGCTAGTCAGACAACCGCACTTACTGGCGAGACGACATCAACGAACATTCCACACGAAGAATTGTAGTTAAACCCATATTTATTACACAACATATAAACAAATAGACGTGTCCATGCAATATTTGATTTGCTGTTTTACATTAATATTAGATAAAGATTAGAATATTTTGGCAAGTGCCTGAGAGATTCATCATAAAATTGAGTGAAAATTTACTTGTAATGAATTCCAATCTCATATAATACAAAAGTTTATCGTGCGGCGCTGACCAAAGTATTCCTATGTATACATAATAAATTTCAGAAGCCATCTATTTTGAAATCTATTTCTACTAAATTAAAAAAATTAAATAAAATAAGAGATGATGACACTTGCTACAAATATGCTCATTCCAATTTATCCAGGTGATCCAATCTAGTTAATACAATACTTTTACTTGTTTCTTCGATTTCCCCAGCCAAGAAAACCTCATCCAAAATTGCATAAACCTATTTTATTT